ACACACACACACACACACACACACACACACACACACACACACACACACACACACACACACACACACACACACACACACACACACACACACACACACACACACACACACGACACTACAGACACAGTACTGTCGAAAACCATGAACACAACCACATAATGGGTCTATTAGTCTGATGATGTCATCGCCATCACAAATAAATACAATCAACAACACACATCAACATTTTTTCTTTCTTTCAGTGTCCCCCCTCCCTTTGAACATGTAGGCCTACAATGACACTACTTTGGGTTTCACTAAGCGGGATGTGTAGCGACTGGGGGGGGTAAACAACAACAACATAAAAATACAATTAAAAGACAACCGACGATTCAATAGCCCTGGATGTTTCAAGAGAAAAGGGATCGCTCTCAAGTTTACACTTTGTAGAGAGACTGAACTTCACCATTTTTGCAATAAACACTAGAATAGGACAGGAATCTGTCAGGAATGTAATTGAGACGTTGCAAACGAGAAAGAGAAAGAGAGAGAAGAGAGAGAGAGAGAGAGAGAATAAAAATGAGAAAAATAAAACAGATTGACGAGAGAAGAGAAATACTCCTGAATGAATTACACGACGGAGGGTATAATTCGGTGTGTGCGCGCGGAGTGTTGACGCTGCTGACGACGGTCTGGACGGCGTCCACGGCCTCTACTAGACCTTGAAGTCCAGCAGGTTGCAGTCGATCTTGTAGTAAACGTAGGGGTAGTACTCCTGCTGGCTCAGGTTCAGTCCCAGGGATATCCATGGAGGCCTGAAGACAACGAGAAGCGATAAACGCCGTTCAATTCAACTCTGCAAATCGATTCGCGACACAAAACCGCGATATGAAGGCCAAGGCTCTTGCAGCCGCCACACCACACCGTTACGAATGACACGCATAAAAACACAGACACATTTATTCAAGGCTGTGGTTTGCACTTTGAATGTTGGGAGGGGGGGGGGGGGGGGGGGGGGGCCTCACGTCTATGATGGCGGCGCTGCTGTCCAGGTGTTTGTACAGCTCAGACAACACCTCGCGCAGCTTCTTCATGTTCTTCTTGTGGGGCTGCAGCAGCATGGCCTGGAAGTTCACCGGCAGCCCGTACCTGAGGAACGGGGGGGAAAAAACATTACATTTACATTACAGAAAATACAAAAAACAAAATGGCCGACATGCTCCTGAGTGAAATGCGTTTTTAGCGCTCTCTCTCTCTCTCTCTCTCTCCCCCTCTCCCTCTCTCTCTCTCCCCTCTCTCTCTCTCCCCCCTCTCTCTCCCCCCCCCCTCTCTCTCCTCTCTCTCTGTCCTCCCCCTCTCTCTCTCTCCCTCCCCCTCTCTCTCTCTCTCTCTCTCCCTCTCCCTCCCCCTCTCTCTCCCTCCATTCCCCTCCCTCCCTCACCGTAAGACCGACTCCACAAACACGCGCAGGGCTTTAATGTGGATCCAGGCGATGAAGGCCTCGCTGAAGTTCACTTTCAGCCATCGCACCAAGGGACCCTGGAGACGACAGGACAGAGGAATCAGCCACGCGCCTCTTCGCTTCGACACCATTAGCACACACACTCGATAATAAAAGCCCCTATCCCTTCGTTATTATTGCTTTGTAATCTTGCTGGGCTCATTGTAAAAAAAATCACAGGAAATTGCCTGATAATATTGTTCATTGGGAAACATGGATCCGGCTGTGGGCGACAAACATTTAAAAAAAGATGTTGATTTAAGAAACCCCCGCCGATCGTACAAACTGTTTCTTTTTGTCGGTGGACAGCCGTGTCATTTCCTCTTTGTCAGCCTTCATTTCCTCCTCATTGTACTGGAAATCACGCACCGTGAACCTAGGTCGAGAGAGAGAGAGCGAGAGAGAGAGAGAGAGAGAGAGAGAGAGAGAGAGAGAGAGAGAGAGAGAGAGAGAGAGAGAATACGCAATTAATCTCTGATCGCATAACATGTGACACGCCGCACTCAGAATACAATAATAACCCCTACTACATAAACGCAGTAATGTATCTCTGGAAATACACACTATTGTTTTCATCAGCCCACACACACATAATCAGTTCCATGGAACGCATAAATTGAAGAGGTTGTGGAGTGGCTTGTTTATACACAGACTATATTTAACTGAGTGGTAAGAGTTTATGAAAAGACACTCGTGGTCCAAATGTCCAAGCTACAATTAGTACACAATTAGGAGCAATGCAACAAATATATCTAGGTCAGAATCCAATAATTGATGAGATCCTGTGATTTATAAAAATACTTTGGGCAATACATTACCAGATCATAAAAGAAATGACTTGATTATCAACCATAACAGGAAAAAAAAAAGAAATATGTCTAAATGTTTCTGCTATAGTGAGCAAAATACAGCATAAAGATTCATTCTTAATTGTACGGTTAATGGCCATTCGGTCCGCAAGCACAAAACAAGCAGACTCCATGTTATCTTGTTTCGTGTTGGCGGGCGACTTAGGAGGTTAGAGGTTTTACTATGCAGTCCTTCACGCTCACAGGAGTGTTTTCTTAGCTAACAGGGGATTGACTGCAGTGCACTATGTTGAGTGGTAACGTTAAGTGGTCAAGGTAAGTGGTCGCAAGCACACTCAAAAAAGGTACGGTCCTCTACGCCTCACCTTTTCCATGAATAACTCCCAACTCTGACCGTGTGAATGTTCCTCAATGAATTACCTCGGTGTTATACAGTAGCCTATTTTTTAAAATGTACATGTTTTTGCGGTTGAACATTTTCTAGTTGCGGCGCAAGACTGCGGCCGACCCTTTTGAGCCGATCGGAAACACGGCAAGCGTTACATAACGCTGTTATGGAATAAGCGTCGCACACACCGGGTCACCTACTTGTTTTCTCTGGCCTTGTGCTTGAAGTCGTCGATGGCCTTCCTGAACAGAGTGACACTGAACAGGCCGCTGTCGTGGTCCTCGAACAGCAGGCTGTGGGGGAGACGCAGCGAGTCAAACACCGCCAGTAACAGCTCTACACGCTGGGGTTCGGGATTTTAATGAAAAATAATTACAACATTTAAAGAGTTGTGCCATTTCATCCTGGTCACACACGTATACAAATGTCTGTTGTCAGACCATCTTCAAGAAAGCAACAGGAGTAAATGGGTTGGTGTGCAGTACATTTGAGCAGGGAAGGCAGTAGCGTAACACTGTATTATATATATATATATATATGTCCCTGAACTGTGGATGATCCTCTGGGATTTGACGCTTACTTAGTGGACCGTGGGACCACCATATCAGACAGGGTCTCGTATGTCTTCTGCCACTCAACGTAGTTCGTCCTGGAAAAGACGCACAACCAATTCATCAGACCGTCGCCCGGCCTAAACAACATCAACGAAACCACTGCTGGTTCAGCGTTCAGTGTGTGTCTCGGGAACAGTGCGGTGCTCACTTTGATACGACCACCAGCATGGTGAGGAGGTACTCAGAGTCCAGAACGAAATCTTCTTTCTTGACGATGTCGGCCAGACTCCTGGTCAGCAGGCTCCCCCTACACCGCAGCAGATTGGCATGTGAAGGCCGTCAGCAAAGTTCAAATGAATACAATAACCCTGCAAGTACTTAGGAATAACAGATAGGAGAGCTGTTAACTACACTACATCAACTGATTTGTGCATGTTGTGTTTAGCTTGTGTTGAATTGAACTCTGTTATGCACTTGACTATACCACAAATAATAAAATTAAAAAAACCTGTTTCTTTTATTTGTATTCCCTTTTCTATAGCTACTCTGTGCTTGTTTTGTAGTAGTTTACTCCGATATTGGTTGCATGCTTTGACTGTTCTCCGCCTCACATTTAAGTTGCTTTGGATAAAGCTTCTGCCAAATGACAAACTACTGCCAATATTAATGTTGTACGTCTGAAACTTTGTTTTAATGTGCTGCTGCTGTCTTGGCCAGGACACTCTTGTAAAGGAGACTTTTAATCTCAATGAGGCTTTTCCTGGTTAAATAAATTCAAAATAAAATAAATGTTTATAATTAGGTGTACATAGCGGCTAATTCCGCAGCTTAAGTGTTTTCACATATCTTTAAGGAAAGTGGCGAATGTGAGCGCGGCGGCGGCCATCTTGACTCACGCGTTCTTCCTCTCCAAGTTCTGCAGGTTTCCCTTCAGGTTGTTGTACGCCGAGGCGCGGGCCTTCAGGTCGTTGTCTATCTGACTCACTTGCTGTGGAGTCACACCGTGTCAGACGTACGTGTTAATACTCCAAATTACTATTATTACACTTCTTTGTGCACTCCTGTAAACTGGTATGTTATTTTGCTTCTGCCACAAATAAATACACATTACATAATAGTACATCCGTAAAATATGTCAAAAATGCTACCCCCTCTCCTAAAGTAACTAAAAGTACAATTCATTGTATTTTCTTATTATTTAAATGATTTATTTGTGCATTTGTATTTCATATGCTTTGTTTGTAATAACATATGTCAAATAGATAAAATACATGTACAGATATATAATACACAAGACGGTACTATTCTACAGTGATGTACGAGGTTACCTTGGAGATGATCTCAGAAATGTTTTTCAGCGACTGTTTGATGGGATACTTGGCCATGTCCCACTGGAACCTGGTCACATAGGTGACCAGGTCAACTGTTTGGGGTAAAAACACAGGAACCAACCTTTAATACACGGACTAGAAAGCGTTACAAGGCTCATCCCTGTGTAAGGAGCTGTGGCTGTACCTCCGTTAGCCAACAGGTTCTCCTGGACCTTGTCCCGGCTGTCCTCCAGAACATCTGCCATGTACTGGGCCACCTTCTTCACCACACTGACCAGGCACAGCAGCATCCACACCCCGACGGCATGAGAGAGGACACATACACCCGCACACACACACACACACACACACACACACACACACACACACACACACACACACACACACACACACACACACACACACACACACACACACACACACACACACACACTAGTTCAGGCAGGAGGATAGTCTAGTGGGCTAGGGTGTTCGTCTCCCCACCGAAAGGTACTGGGTTCGAGCCCCAATGTCTGCAGCCTAACCTTAAAGCTTAACCTGCAGGCACCCTTGAGCAAGATGCCTAATGCGACCTGCTCCTTCGTCTGCTACTAAATAGTAGGTCATGACAGCACAACCAACAGAGTGCACCATTGCTGGAATGAGGCATCGCATTCCTCACGAAACTGAGGTATTGGAATCTAGTTCACTGTCATGAGATAACATGACACAGCTCACACAGTTACTCTAACTAATGAATAGAACAAAAACACTAAGAGTACGAGACGATAGGTATTAATCGGTTCATCATCTTGGTAGAAATAACAAGGCTTACCTCTCCACGAAGGTGTCCAGTTTGGCCAGCTCATCCGACAGACCGACCAAGACATCTAGAGTTCCAACCTGTGGCCAAAGCACCAGTTTTATAAATGCATTTTCGATACTTTCAATACAATTGACCATTTTCGTACCAGGATCAACACAGATGTGTGTGTGTGTGTGTGTGTGTGTGTGTGTGTGTGTGTGTGTGTGTGTGTGTGTGTGTGTGTGTGTGTGTGTGTGTGTGTGTGCGTGTGGTGACCTTGAGATCTGGGATGTTGAACTTGTTGTTGGTGGAGAGGTTGGTGGTGTGCGTGGTGGCCACCATCATCTTGTCCCAGCTCTGCTGACATGTCTTCTCGCCTGGAGCGGAGATCAGCCAGAATTCAGTCATGGCGGCTGGGAGACAGGTAGCTCACAGGGCCTCTGCTGGAGAGACAGGCATCAGCATTGGGAGTTGAAATAACCAAAATAATATTATGTTGCAATAATAACTCAATACTTTATCCAGTATTGTTTGGACCTGGTGAAGAATCAACATGAAGACAAATTTATTTCCTCTTTTTTTTCTTTTCTTTTTTTGATATATATAGGGGCCTATGACTATACATAATAACTATTAGTTTTTGTTGGCAGGCTACAACCCAAGAACCATCAGCAACGTCTATGTGGTAGAGACCAAGTCCAGGGACTAAGACCAGACCCTGGGAATTCAAAAGTTGAATCAGTGTCACATTACCAGGAAAGGTCTTCCTCTTTTTGGGGGACTCATCTATTCATAAATCCACACACAGAATGTGACTTCCTTCCACATACAAGACCAGTCACCATGTCTTCACTTCTTTTAAATATCATATTTCATTACAGATACTTATTTGACACGATCACAGTTATTAACCAGAGGCAGATACTGGCACAGAGCGGACCCACGGATGTCATGTGATCATGTGACTGTAGCAGATGTACACATCACATTAACTGTCACTTATTATTTTCCTATTGCGTGCATATCATATTCACTGGCTTTGCGCATACATTATACGTTTACACACCATTTTTCATTGAACAAAAAATATGAATGTCAATATATTACTGGGACCTAGCTGAGTGGCATTAGCCTTCTAGCAAAGGACAGCTAGTGTGTCACGACATTGAGATTACAATGTTTTACACTCACCAGATGAACCTGATGTATCCGTGCTGGTCCGTACTATGTTCACGATGCAGTTTTCAAATTATCCAATGCATTTCTCAATAAAAGCCACTGCAATTCAGAGGTCCTTCAAGCATTGACTGTACCACCAAAGGAAAAAAGCATCACACACACACACACACACACACAGTCAGCTGATCAGATGAGTTGTGCGTATGCGCAGAAGGACGTGCGCACTAGCATTTGTTGTGGTGGTCGATTGGGCAGTCCCTCAATGTCGCCCTCTTGTGGCCAGCGTCCGCAATGGCGAGAAGCGCAACTACCTTCTACATTATGTAATTCATATTATATAATGTTATGCATTCAATTGAACTGGTCATTATGTCCCATGGAAAATATTGTGCTGGTTTATTAACGACTGCTTAGCCACAAATATGGTCAAGAAGAGGGTAAAATACCGACACAGTCCAGGCCACCAAGTATCTAAACGCAGTCAGGAATATGCAGAAATATCCTGAGTTAATGTGCTGCGTCCACAATGAGGATTTATCAGCCCTTTTCAAACCCATGAATGTCTCCTGGTTAACCACTGCTAGGGAAGGATTTCCTGCTATCTGATGTTTCAAAGTTTGTGAATAATCAAAATGGGAATCAGCATGCATGTCATTATTATTCTGTTTTGAGACCTGTGAATACATGAATAGGCCTACAGCATAGTTCTGCTGAATGTATTGAAGTATCTTGCTTCATGATATCTGTCTATATCCAACATTTACCTATATATCATTTCATAGCCTGACCTTCTGTTTAGCTCTCAATGGATGTTATGTCTACAAACAGGAATGCAAGGTATCCTTGAGTAGAGACTGTTTTGTCATTTGCAGTCTTATCTACAAAGTTCAGTGCAGCCTTCTTGAACTTGTGAATGTTATTACATGTTGGAAGTATAATGTATGTAAGTTATAGTTTCAAAATCCTGATGATTCATGTGTAGTTTGTTTTTCAACCCATAGTATTATTATTTAGTTTGTCAATTTAATGTAAAGATTTGTATTGTATGTTATGTTATTTGAACTTAAAGATATTCATTTAAAAAATGTAACCTTTGTAAGTCTTTTTCTTATTTATATTTAACTCAACTTCGTATATAATTGGTCATATATATAACATTCCCTTTTCACTGCAACCAACACTACCTAACACTTTATAGCATAGTTAGTAGTTAGTTAGTTAGTTAGTTAGTTAGTTAGTTAGTTAGTTATGTACCTGTATTAGCCTACTTCCAACTGCAAGATTTAAATCTAACAACAGTCCTCTTTGTGGGGGATTTTATTAACAGTCAATAATGCAAAGTTAATAGTTACGTCACCTTCGATAAATCTTACCGTCGTCCGTGTGTAATTCGGAAATACATATTTGGCGTTTTCGTCGAGCGCGAACGCCATTGGCCGAACGAGGCGCGGACGCCCCGCCCTCCGACGCCGCCCATTGGCTGAAGTCGGCGCGGAAGCCCCGCCCCCGGGCCCGTTGATGACATGTCCGCTTCCCTTCCCCTAGCTTCCCGTAGTTCTCCACCCACCTAGCAAGAGACACAGCTCGTTCCCCCCCCCACCGCCTCCTCTCTCTCGTCTGAACCATATGGCAAAATTAGGCCTCTTTCTTTCTTCTATTGTGGCCCCCACCACCGTTTAAAAATTCCGCCGAAAAAGAGAAGACGATTTTCCAAATCACCCTGGCCGTTATCTCACGTAAGTACGAACCGCGCCGCTGAAGGCTCCCCGCTCTCACGGTGGAGAAACATGGCGGGGTTTATCCTCCTCCTTGCCTTGCCTTGCCACACATGACAGGCCGACCGGACGGTTGTTCAGCCCTATTTGGTCACGTACGTCGTCGTCGTTGTTGTCGTTGTTTTGGATAAATACCGTTTCCATTCCGCTCCGATACTTCCGATATACTGTGTGTGTGTGTCCGCCGCGGCGCCGGTTATTGAACCGTACGTGGATAATGGCCGTGCGGCCACGTCTGGTGTGGTTGGCTAACGCTAGCGAGATTAGTCCTGGCCGCTGCTGTCCCCAGATAATGTTGTTTTTTTTTGCGGTTGTTTCGTTTTTGATTATTTTGTATTATTTCGCAACCCGACACGACGTATCGTATGATCACGTCGGTTAAAAAAACTGGCGATTCGTGACATTCCGATGTTTTTTCGCCCCCCCCCGCCCCCCCAACCCCAACGTCAATATTAGCTACTGGTTATTATGGTCTGGTATTAGCAGTAGTTCACACTGATGTCTTTGATCGACCAAAAAAAAAAAGCCATTGACATCACATGGACGTTACATAACGCATCGATCATGCACACACACACACACACACACACACACACACACACACACACACACACACACACACACACACACACACACCTGGAGCAAAGTGACAGTACATGTGGCATCAGGTCAGCCCCGGCCACACACACACCCGGCCACAGGGATGTGATAGAGACGTACCTGGGAGAAACCATTCACTGGAGGGTGTTTAGTGTGTGTTGGGAACTCAAAGAATTGTTGTCAAAGTGTGTAATGATTGCTGCAATGCTAACGGTGTTTGTGTTTGCAGGGCTCCCCTGTCTCTGCACAGGTGTATAACCGCTACCCAGAAGGTCTAGGGGCGGCTCTCTACCGGGAGCACTTTGACTTCAACGCTGAGCCGCCTTGGGATCCTAGCTGATAGTGGGACAAGTCCATCCCCTGACTTGTCCATGTAAGTCCACACCCCAGAATACACACCAACACCCTTTTACAGACGCAGGCAAACGGTTCAGACAGGTCAACGGTGTATGCAGCACCCGGGGGGCTCATCTCCGTCTGACTGTTGTATGTTTGTTTGTAGAAAAGTTGTAGCTTTTCTTAACGGCTGTCGATTTGTCATTAAGACCTTTTTAAGACCTAAACTTGAATTAAATAATAAGTTAATTGTGCAGTCAATGTAGCGTAGTACAATTGCATGCTAGGTTGATTTGAAGAATGTTTTCAATGGAAAGTAACTGATTGTGAAGTGACCCTTGTTCTCGTCTCCTCTTTATCTTTCTGCAGTTTGTTGCATACCGGCAGGACCCCACTGGCTCAGTCGTGACCTTCTCTATTCGCCTCCCTCTTCTTTATGATTGTCAGCTAAGCGGAAAACGGTTAATATGAAAGGACTCTCCGAGGAACCCAGCTACATCCTTGAGCTCCTGGAGGAAGGAGTGACCATCGACGATGTCATTGATGGATACATCTCCGAGCATGCTCTGGTCAGTTTGGCATTCCAGTCACAACACCTGAAAACCAGTCAGTTTGGTCTTGACTGGGACATGTTTATTTGAAGCATTTATTTTAAATTGCTCTGCTTAAGCTATTGAGTCACTCGTTATTCGTCACATAAACATACAGGATGTACAGTGAAATGAAAGTGGCAATGCTTACGGGATTGTGCAAAACAGTAACAGTATTTACAATAAAAAGAAGCAACAATATTTACAGTAAAAAGAAGCAACACTAATTGTAATAGGTGTAGCTATAAATAAT